ATGTCACTCAAATATGAACGGAACGGGGACGTGTCATTGACAATGACTTGTTCTTTTTCAAACTTTATCAAACTTGGTCACCTAATTCATCAGTATAAAATCTTAATTTTAGAGCCAACAGATAAAATTTGTGTCCATTTTCAGTTTTTACTCAATAAATTTGGCTATTTTTGTCCCAATCTTCTGAAAGAAAGTACAGACTATAAACAGGACTATTTTGTGAATTTTTGATGAAAAGCGGGAACTGGTATAAAAATGTTAATATTTTTTTTTTTTCAGTTAACATAAAATGGGGCAAAGAGAAATTTGAGGGCATTGAATTAAGTACTGATGAACCACCAATGGTATTCAAAGCGCAGTTATTTGCTTTGTCTGGTGTACAGCCTGATAGGCAGAAGGTGATGATGAAAGGAGCGGTGCTCAAAGACGATACATGGGACAGATTTAAACTTAAAGAAGTAAGTAGAGGTTGAAGGTTAAAGCACTACAGCCATGATGCAAAACTTCTTCTAGTTTTAATATTGTAAAATGCATTTATTATTAGTCCCCGTTCGGATGCAGTTCGAAAACGGGGACTTATGTTTTGACCTCCATGTGTGCGTCTGTGCGTGCGTCCGGACCTATATCTTAGAAATGCCTGGACCAATCACAATCAAACTGCACACATACATCATACATGATATTATACATATGCACGTCAATTTGTTTCACAATCTGATTCAAGATGGCCGAATGGCGGCCATTTTTGTGCTAAAAATCATCAAAATCAAGCATGTCTCTGGCTGTTAACAGATGGATTTTGTTCAAACTTGTATATACATTAGACATTATAGGACCTTGATGCACATCATTTTGTTTTACGATCTGATGCAAGATGGCTGAATAGCGGCCATTTTTGTGCTAAAAAATCCTAAAAATCAACTGTTTGTTTCTCAGCTGTTTACAGATGGATATTGTTCAAACTTGGTATATACATTAGACATTATGGGACCTTGATGCAAATAATTTTATTTTTCAGATAAGATTCAAAATGGCCGACTGGCGGCCATGTTGTATTAATGAATGGTTCTCGTGCCATATCTCTGACTTGCTTTCACTGATTATGTTCAAATTTTAAATATTCATTATACATCATGTCATAGATAGACAGATATATTGGTTTGATGATCCTATTCAAAATGGCCAAATGGTGGCCTTTTTTGTGTTAAAAAATCATCAAATATCAAGCATTTCTGGCATTTATGGATGGATTTCGTTCAAACTTGGTACATATATTAGACATTACAGGTTCCTGGTGCACATTATTTATTTTTCAAATCGGATTCAAAATGGCTGTCTGGCTGCCATTTTGTTTTAATGAATGGGCTT